GGATGGGCTATTGGGCCTTATAATGCCCATAATGAACCCTATGAAGAGCCTTGTAAGGGATTATAGGGTATAATCGCCCATCCTGGAATCTGAGGTGTGGGGTTTGCATTGATGGCTGGCACGGTTGAGTTCCAGCATGCAGAGCTGGAGTTTAAGTTGAGTCGAGCTGCTTTACGGTTTTCATCGCACTTTTGTACTTTGTTTTATGGGAGAATATGTTTTTGCATTCTTGTTGCAAGCCCTGCAGGTTCAAGCTTCAGCGAGAGGGCAGGAACAGCGGAAAGCCTCTAGGAACCGAGTATCAGAAGGCAAAGCCCCCTTAACTGCCGAAGTATGTTGGATGCTAAGCCCGACAGTGCAAAATCTTACATCACACCCTTGCGGAGACGAGGCCGACTCTCAAAAAGACAGCGCGGCCTTAGCGGAGAAAAGCGAGGAGGCCAGCTCGATTCACATATAGAGCTGTACATGGGTCTTCACAGCAGCATCTACCGCTTGATGCATGTTGCAGCTCGACCTGCACGCCCCGGATAGAGTTTTGATGGGACCCCAAGGCATTGGAGACTCTGCGCTCTACGCTTGCGCAGTGCGAGGCGTGTTGCAGTAGGACTAAGGAGCAAGTTCACAGGATGAACCCAGACAGGAGAGTTTGCAGCACGAGGGGCGGCATGAGTTGAGATTCCATGCCATGTTTCACTGATCTCAGCCTAGTAGGGGGCCCTTAGAAAGCCGAACCTATAGAGGGGTTTACGAAATACGGGACCCCAAATATGGAACACAAAATGGTAGGATCCCCTTTAAGTACGGACCCCAAAAAGGTACCACGAACATCGCAAACCCCCAACCCTAAACCTCAGACCCTAGACCCTAGACCCTAGACCCTAAACCCTAAACCCAGCCCCTTTCAGGCAGAAGTTGCAGCTCTCCGACAGGAGAAGGAGGAAGCTGCGCAGGATCACCTGGGGCCCCGAAGCCGATGGTCCCGGGATTCCTCTATCTGTACAGATTCTGATCCACATATATATATATATATATATAGACAATAGATTTCATCCTGCCAGTAATATGTATGTGTGTATATATGTATATATATATATATATATGTATGGTTATATCTGATTCTACGGTCTGGTTTGGTGTTTGTGTGGGGTTGCTCAAAGTAATGTATGGTCCAGGGAGTCTTTGATGATAGCCCAATTGCGGTTTAGGGTTTAGGGTTTAGGGTTTGGGGTATTATACTGAGAAGGGACCTCTTCCATTCCTAGATTTCTGTGGTCTGCGGCTTCACCCCTTCAGGGCCTACCGTGACCATGTTTTTCTAAACCCAAAAGCATTTCATACAGGCCAGAAATTAAGCCCACCACCCTAAGCCCTGATGAACTACGCGATCCGTACACCCCGGGGAGGAAGAAGGAGGCCCGAAGGTCTCCCAAAGTGTCGTGATAACGAACCCGGCAAACCTTGGGGTCCTGAACACCACGATTGTCCCATAAATACTGACTGATTGAGGGTTCGGAACATGTTGCTGGGAGAGGGGCGTGGCGTGGGGAGGGGTGGACTGTGCATGGAGGTTGACGGAGGGCAGGGAGCGGGGACACGTGGACGCCCCTCCGCGCCGTCCGCGCCCTCCGCGCCCTCCGCGCGCTCCGCGCCCTCTGCGCCCTCCGCGCCCTCCGCGCCCTCCGCGCCCTCCGCGCGCTCTGCGCCCTCTGCGCGCTCCGCGCGTTCCTCGCCCTCCGCGCCCTCCGCACCCTCCGCACAACACAGTCTGCTGATGCTAAGGGTGCATTGAGTCTATTCTGCGGGTGCGTTGCGTCTATTCTGCGGGTGTTTCCTTCGTAAAGCATTTGTTTACAAGGCACGCACGTGCAGTATGGCCTTTAAGTGTCCATCTTACGATCTTCTCCGTTGACCGTCTCCTCGAGATCTTCGTGGCCTCTTTCAGCCAAAAAGCGATCCGATAGAACGCCTTCCGTGTTGAAGCGCCAAACGAGAACCCAGTTTCAGAATTGGTCAAGGAAACAACGAGCACGCGCAGAATAGACGTTAAGCGTCCATGAAGGCACCCCCCCCCCCCCATCTGCCTTTTTGGGATCCCTGTGAGGAGCTCGCCCAGCTGCGGAGTGGCCAGGAGCAGGTGCTCCTTCCGGCAGAATGGCATGACTTATCATCAGTATCACATATCCTGACGATCACCAGTTGCATGAGTATCATTATGGTTATTGTCAGCATCAATACCATTCGAATTGCTGTTGTCCTTTTCATTCTGGTCATCACTATAGCTATCATCATCACCATTATCACCGCTTAGCATCATTGTTATCACGGTTGTCGTTAGTTACTGAATCAGTACTATTACTGCTTAGTGTCCGCATTACCATCATTAGCAGTCCTAGCTTTTCTTTCTTATGTCGAGTCTGCTGTTTTATCGTGACTATCAGTACGATGCCGATTATCGATTATGGTTATCTTTAGGATGAATACGATTACTTGTTTGTTATCATGATCAGTACCCGGATTATCATTGCGTTCTGATTATCATTTTTATCATCATGATTATTCAATGTTTCAATTTGTCATTTTCGTCGTTGTCATCAATCACTCATCATCTTCGTTACCAAAAGCTGTAGCGCCAATCTGCAGCATAGATTACACCACGACACATTGCAATCCAGTGCAATGTGCTTTGCTTCGTTGCTTTCAAGGCCCGAAGCCGAGAAGCGTCCTGAACAGCCGAGTTGCTGATTCCATCCCCCCCAATCTTTGCCTTTGTTGGCCTCATTGCATGTTGGATGCCTTGCAGGAGATTACGGGCAGGATGTATTGTATAACTGAACCATGGATCCGGCCGGGTCGTTACACAGGAGGCTGTTGCTTGCCCGTGCCTCGGTCGTTCCAGGCCCTTCAATCCGCCTTGGCCCAGCAACGCGAGGAGTTCAATAAGGCCGGCGGCTTGGAGTTCAGTGGCGCGAGCTTGACCAAGGCCTACAGTAAACTCAAAAAAGTTGCAATGCCCCTACCCCATACCACAAAAGGTATCCTAAGAGAGACTCTTAGCGTTAATCATCCTTGAACCATGTTCTCACTTTCTGAAGTTTGCCGGGGGACTAAGGAGGAGAAAGTTGGCCAAACGAATGCAAGCCGTTCCAAGTCAAGATTGCTGGGTTTAGGGTTTAGTTTAGGGTTTCGGGTGAGGTTTCCGGATGGAGGCAATGGTACCTTGCTATGCCTTTGGCAACGGAAATCGGAGCTTGATTCCGAATTACCCATGCTAAGTATGCTCGCAATGAAGCTGCATTCTCTGTTGGGTGCCCGTGTAAGCAACCTCACCTGCTTGTTGCTTGGCCGTGCAAGCAACCTCACTTGCTTGCCAATCCTGATCCCAGCTTTGTAGGCCCTGAACCCTCATCCTAAAGCCTAAGCCCTCAATCTGAAACCCTCAGCCCTTAATCCTCCTAAACCCTAAACCCTAAACCCTAAACCCTCAACCCTAAACCCCAATCCGCCAAAGCCCTCAAGCGGCAACGGCCTTGCTCGAATTTGCACAGGCGGCAGAGTTGGCAGAGGCTGCTTCCGCCCTGACACTGTCCAAGAGCAAGGCCTCGGACTTGGAATGCGCTGTGTCCGCGAGTCTACCACATCTATCACACCCCCATGCAGAACTTGAAGACACAAAAGGGTACAATGAAACTAAGTAGGCCCTTGGGATATTTTATATTCTCCGTTATTTGGGTTTAAGAGGATCATATTTCGGAATATTAAGGGCCATCCTAGGACAGGTTCCAAATTCTGGGGGGGAGGGGGAGGGGGGGGCCGGAGCCTTGCGTGCCTCCGAGCTCGGCATCCTCAGCCAAGAACAGGTCTGCTGCGCGTCAAGAACAGAGGTTGCGGTGCCAGGGGGGGTATCCAGGGATAGAGGAGTCCCAGAGTCCAGGCACCCCAAGAACACCGAAAAAGGAAGAGCGGCAAATTGCGCTCGAGGCCCCGGATTGGGGGCCTCCGCGAGTTCTTCACCTTTGGCCCGGGAGGTATTCGAGTGTCGGTTTAAGTCTTGAGCGCCCGTTCCTCACAGGCTCGGTGAGCCCTGCATGTCGATCTTCGCCCTTTGCATGAGAACTCGGAGTTGGGGAGCAGCTGCTGAAGCCGTTTAGTCTAGTTCAGTTTTTTTTGGAGTAGTTTAGTTCAGCCGCTTCTTTATGCCAAATCCAAGCATAGCGCCCACCAAAGCCCGCCAAAAGCTGCGCATCAGGCAGAGGCAGATGCACTACGACGCCAGCGAGACAATGCCGTGAGGCAGTCAACCCTAAACCCGAAACCCTAAACCCTAACCCTAGCCCTAAACCCTAAACCTGGGGTTCATGAGTCGAGATGAGAACCACTGCCCCGAATGGCATCTCGGCTGTGGGGTTGACAGCTTAGGCTTTAGAATGTCCAGCCCAAGAGACCTGGCAAGTCTCCGCGTTCAGGCGTTTTGGTTCAGAGTCCAGCCGCCTGCCTGTCAGACAGCATCTCGAATCCTAGTTATCACTTATATCCTAAAGGCAGGGTAGAGTGAAACTTCCAACATAAACCCTAAACCCTAAGCCCTAAACCCTCAGCCCTAAACCCTCAGCCCTAAACCTAACCCTCCACCCTAAGACTTGTTCACCGCACCCGAGCAAGTCGATCTATGAACCTGCGCCAGCGAAGGCTTTGAAGCCCAGATCCGCCCCAGCAATCCAAGACGTCCATATGGCAAGCATGGACCCTCGGTCAAAACCTACAAGCCGCAGCGCAGTGCTCTAAACCCTCTAAAACCTTTATAAACCCTAAACCCTAAACCGTAAACCCTAAACCGTTAAGACCTTAAGACCCTAAGACCCCTAAGACCCCAAGACCCTAAGACCGCAAGACCCCTAAGACCCCGAAGACCCTAAGATTTTAAGCCCTAAACCTTGCATCAACAAAGCCCCCCCAAAAGCCCCGCTAAGCCCTGAATCAACAATTGCCTGAAAAGCGGCATGGCGCGGCAGCTGCGATCGAAGCTGGCTGCAGCCCGGTCGCCCCTGGGCTTCACACGGCGTCTGCGCTGCTGACTTCGCTGTATAAGGGTTATGACCACCTGCTTGTGTAGTGAAGTTATGACCACCTGCCTGTGTAGCTCTGCAGGATCAGAACATATCAGGACTCGAAAACCCTAAAGTGGACCAGGAGGTCCTTTTTCAGATGCGCGCGCGGTTGTTGCTCCCGAGCCCAACGCAGCCGAGCCGAGAAACTGCAACACAAACCCCCAAAAGCTTAAGGCGCAGGGTTTAGGGGTTTAGGCCGCTGGGCCCTATAGTTACGCTCAACCCTGATACCTCACACAGGGCTGGCGTTGAGGATGGTTAAGTAGTGGGAAACCCTAAACCCTAAACCCCGCTCAGACCCCGCGTCTTGCCGCGCATTTATTCGGGCGGGGCTTGCGGGAATGGCAAAAACCTCGCAAATACCGTATTTCTCGTCGGTGAGGGCAACAGCAAGAAGGATTATGTTAATATCCTGTTTTTATTAAAAGTGCATGTTAGTGTAGAACGCGTCGGGCGGGGTGGCGGGCGTAAAAACACATTATCACGGGTTTAGGGGTGGAGGGGCTTGGAAGTTTAGGGTTAAGGGTTCCCGAACATATGCAGGAATGTCGTCTTTCTTGCAGGAGAGAAATGCGTGCGCAAAACCTACTCAGCAGACTGCACGGAGACGGCCGCACGTGCTGCGTGGATTTGCCAGAGGAGGTACTTGTGGTCACGGATCGTCGCTATGTACTCCTCAAGCATGGCCACACAGTCGTCAGCGTCTTCCAGCCCGAAGTGCTATGAATGAGCCTGACAAAGAGTACGCTGCAGCCCTTGCGCGGGGCTGCAGGCACATGCAGGATGTGGATGCCGTGGCCATTCGCATGGTCAACGGACGTCGTGCGGGCATCACGCGGACGTTATCATCGCACTGGCATGGCTGCTCTGGCCATTCGCACGCACTGGACGTTATCATTGTGCGGGCATGGGTGCTCTGGCCATTCGCACGCACTGGTCACACAGACGTTATCATCGTGCGGGCATGGATGATCTGGCCATTCGCACGCACTGGACGTTATCATTGTGCGGGCATGGGTGCTCTGGCCATTCGTGTGCTCTGCTGCGGCGTAACGTCGGGTCTGAGGGCTAAACCCGAAGCCCTAAACCCTAAACCCTAAACCTCTAAGGCCAGCAGAGCTGGAGAAGCTGCTGGGGCAGCTTGAGCCAGCCAACTGCGAGCAACTGGTGCCCTCGGCCTGTTTTGCTCGTGCACGCCTGAAGAACCCCAAAGCCATCTTGGCTGTGAGTTATGGTTGTAAGCTGATAAGATGGTCCTCAGACCGGCTGCAACAAAAAAAGTTGGGATTCTGAAGCTCTAAGCCTAGGGCTCTAACCATGCCCTAAACATTGGAGCCCAGGCGGTTCCCTCCAAAAGTGTTTCCGAATATGACACAGGGCTTATGTTACTGGTTCCTTGCAAATATAAGTGAGTGTGTATATATTGGTGTCCTATATATTGGTGTCCCTTTGGAGATACTAGTATTGAAACCCGACTTCGCATGAAGTGGATGTAGAGTTTGTTCATCCGCTCGTATCCCAGAGCTCACATATTTTTGCTAACTTCATGTCGAAAGATCATACATTCGCGATGCGAGCCCATCCAAGAAACCCTAAGTATTCACTGAACCCTGAACTCACAAACCCTCAAACCTAAACAACCGCTGCAAGCCTACACCCTAGACCTCTACGAGCCCTAAACCCTAAACCCCTAAACCCTAAACCCCAAACCCTAAACCTAAACCCTAAACCCTAAACTCACAGGACATCTCCACCCTCACGGCCCTGGTGCACCGCCTCGGCGCTGGACAAAGGTCCGGACTCCGGCAGCTTCGTTCCGCGCTGGCTAAGCGGCCCTGTGACCGCAGAACAAGCCTTTGGGGTAGGGTTTAGGTTTAGGGTTTAGGGTGTAGGGTGTAGAGATGTGTAGGGTTTAGGGTTTAGTGTTTAGGGTTTAGGGTTTCGGGTTTAGGGTTTAGGGCCCTCATCAGGGGTCTACCGAAAAGGCTCGCAATATAATACCCTTTTTGTGTACAATACTACAGAATGCTGTAGCAAACCCCAAAAAGGAACTTCAGTGGAGGTTTCAGGTAGAACTCGTTTTATTTGGACTCCAGTTCAAGCGCGTCGGGGCAGGGTTTCTAGCCGATGGATGTTGAGCTCAAGAAATGCACTTCACCGACCCTGAAACCCTTGCCCAAAGCTGAATCCTAGATGGAGACCTTCTGCACCAGCTTTGCCCCAAACTGTAAGCCCTATAGGCCCTGTGGAAGTCATATCAGCCGCAAGCCCAAGCAATGCCAGCTGCCTGTTTACCCAACCCAACATTGCATGCGAGGATGCCTCGGGCAACGGGACTTCAGCTGGCCAAGCAGGCAGGACCTTGGTCAAGAATCGAGTATAGCAGAGAAACCGTCGACCCCGAGCCCCTAGACCCGATACACCCTAAACCCTAGACCCTAGACCCTAAACCCTAGACCCTAAACCCTAAACCCTAGACCTTAAACCCTAAACCCGAAACCCCAAAACCCTAAACCCTATACATCCAAAAACCCGAAACCCTTACGCTCGGGAGGCCTGGGCCTTGGGCCGCCTCTCTCGAGTAAAGGGCGACGGACCAATGGCCAAGGATGGCGCGGTCAAGTTGAGGCTAGGGTTTGGGGTTTAGGGTTTAGGGTTCAGGGTTCAGGGTTCAGGGTTCAGGGTTCAGGGTTCAGGGTTCAGGGTTCAGGGTTTGGGGGGTTTAGGGTTTGAGGTTTAGGGTTTAGGGTTTGAGGTTTAGGGTTTGGGATTCGGGGTAATTTAGGGTTTAGGGTTTAGGGCTTAGGGTTAGAGGGTTTAGGCGTTCGAGGTTTATAGGAGGGAGTTTCGGGTTTGTTTGTGGCTGCAGTGACGGGCCAAGGCTCGGCCTTTCAAGCCTTGCCTCACTTGTGGGGTGGGGTTGTTCTCTATTCGGGCTGCCCTTTATTCAGATTCCCAAACATGGACGCCAGAGCCAAACCCTAAACCCTAATCCCTAAACCCTAAATCCTAAACCCTAAACCCTAAACCCTAACCCCTAACCCCCAAGCTCTAACCCCTACCCCCTAACCCTAACCCCCAACCCCCCGCCCCCCCAAATGTATTCGAGAGGAATGCATGTTTGCTTCCTTGAGGAGCTCCTTTCACAACTCTGCGAGCGCCTGGAGGCGCCAGCTCACAGAAGCTGGAGATTAGCAGCGGTCGAGTGTTGAGGGTTTGGGGCTTACAACCTCTAACTTGGGATGTTCCCCCTTATGCTAACTGTCCTCAATGGGGATGATATGAGGGGGGGGTACTATACTGCCGATTAAGGGCTGTTAGCAAAAAGGGGTAACATCCCAACCTCTAGCCTTATAGGTTTAGGGTTTCGAGTTCACTGTCATAGAACTAGAACCCTAAACCCTAAACCCTAAACCCCAGACCCCAAACCCTAAAAACTCAAAGTCCTAGAGACCCCCAGCACCCTCCCTGGAAGGCCCACCCACCCTCAGCTTCGCCTGCGGCTGTCTCCTCAGCCGCCTGGGCCGCCGCCAGGCGCTTGCGGCTTCGGGGGTCTCAGGGTTCGGCCTAGGGGTTTGTAGGGTTTATGGGTTGATGGGTTTTGTGGGATTTACGGGTTTTATGGGTTTTATGGGTTTGATGGGTTTGATGGGTTTGATGGGTTTGATGGGTTTGATGGGTTTGATGGGTTTCAGGGTTCGATTTAGGGGTTTGTAGGGTTTTATGGGTTTGTTGCGGTTTGTGGGTTGGGGCAGCTGGGTCTTGAGGAAGCCGCAGGAACATCAAAGGAAGTAAGGAAGGTGCCTGGGTTGGCGGATGTTGGTTTCTCCCTTAAAGAGAGATCGAGCCAGAGAGAGCGAGAGAATGAGAATAAGCCCTCTCGAATCATTGCAAACCAGCCCGGCGCAGAGCTTGCTCTGGGAGTGTTCTGTCGCTTCCAAGTGTTCTCCACACTCTAGCCAATGTATTTGTTGTTCTTGTTGGGTACAACATTCGTGTGGCAGGGGAGCCTAAACCTTAAACCCTAAACCCTAAACCCTAAACCCTAAACCCTAAACCCTAAACCCTAAACCCTAAACCCTAAACCCTAAACCCTACACCCTAAACCCTAAACCCTGAACCCTGAACCCTAAACCCTGAACCTTGAACCCTCTCTATCAACCTCAGGCTCCAGCACGCCTTTCCCATTCTGTCCGCCGAGTCCACCTTGGCGAGCATGCGCCCACAGGACAAAGGAGTCGAATATAGGGGGCTGAATAATTCGAATAGGGTTTTGGGGGGTTGTGATAGAAACATTTCCAAGGGACCTTAGGGAATATTCTTAGTAATTTTTCCGACCCCTATATTCGAGGTCAGGGATGTTCAGGGTTTAGGCTCGTAGCTCCAGGGTTCACAGGGCTTTCTGGAAGCTCACGGCGGCAAAGATGTTATACAAGAAGAACCCTATTGTTCAAAATTCAGGGCTCACTGCTCACCCCCTAAGCCGCAAGCCCTAAACCCCATAAGCCCTAAACCCTAAACCCTAAACCCTAAACCCTAAACCCTAAACCCTAAACCCTAAACCCTAAACCCTAAACCCTAAACCCTAAACCCAAGGTAGCTGACAAAGCGCCCTGCTTCCTGAACGCGCCTGAGGATGCTTCCATGACACTCTGGGCTGCAGCTGCGCTGCGATGCCGGCGGCTCTTTGCACGACCCCTTCCCACTGCGAAATGCCACCAGGCACATTGGGAATCGACATATGGTTGGTAGGGTACACGGCGCTTATAGGGTTTAGTTATAAGTTATTATGGTTTTTAGGGGGTTTTGGATATATAGGGTTTGTAGGGTTTGCTTTTAGGGCTTATAGGGTTTATCGGGTTTGTAGGGTTTTACACGGTGCTTAGGGTTTATATTGGGTTTATAGGTTTTCTGAGGGTGTTTAGGGTTTTCAGGGCTTCTAGTGTTGTGGGCTAAAGCGGCTATTCCTCCAGTGTGAGATGCAAGACCTGAGGACCCGGTGGAGGGGCTTCAGGATGGTTTAGGGTTTAGGGCTTAAGTTTAGGGTTTAGGGCTTCAGTTTAGGCTTTAGGGTTTAGGGTTTAGGGTTTAGGGTTTAGGGCCAGTTTAGGGTTTAGGGCTTAAGTTTAGGGTTTAATTAGCTGTTTAGGGTTCAGAGTTCAGGGTTTCATTAGGGCTTAGGGTTTAGGGTTCCCATTCCCTGTTCAGCCTGGAGCCTAAAAGCCGCCCGACTGAGGCACGGAGTGGTGCAGCCAGAGCATTGCCACTGCTTTGTGGGCCTATGCCACATCGCAGCATGAAAGGGGGATGGACCCTCTACATCTTGAGGAGAACAAGCTCGTTAGTCTTGTCATTCCCGGACCATGTGCTGAACTGACAGCCCCGCACCCGACTCTGCTCAGTGTCCTTGGGCCAGTCATGTGATGTATTTATGGGCAAACCCTAAACCCTAAACCCCAAACCCCAAACCCTAAACCCTAAACCCTAAACCCGAAACGTATTTATGGGCAACCTGGAGCACGGGCGGAGATCTGGGAAGTCAGTAGCTTTCAGGCTTTGAGGCGTTGTTGGGGGCTTGGGTTTAGCCACCTCAAGCTGGGCTTGTCTGCATCCATGTACGAGGCCCGAAGCTATCACGTAGGTGATTACACTGGAGGCAAAGGTAAACGCGAAGCACCACTGATCATCAAGCGCATCAGCAGCAATCCCACTACAGAACCCGCTGATTTGAATGCATGATTGAGCTCGCTGCCCCATGGACCTGAGTCGTGGCACTTCATGACAAAGAAACCCTCAACTAGCCCTAAACACGATATAAAGCCCCAAAGATGCAGAAAGTAAGGCTCCAACACCCTATGCGTCTCACATGCTGCATGAGGCAACTGTGCGCATAGACCCTTCGAGGGCGGTGCACTCTAAGCTGCCCGCTTGCGACTATGCCTGTCTGCAAGGGGGGGACATCAGGCATGGAGCTGAGGAGTGTTCTTGTGGAGCTGAGGGGCATATCCGAAGGCCCTCAATCCTGTTACCAGGGTTTTCAGAGTTGAGGGTGTAGGGGGTTAGATTCAGGACCCGGGGTTTAGGGCAATCAGGGTTTCGGGTTTCCAGCGTTCCGTCT